CATTCTTCCAGATTTTTACCTACCTTACATTGTTCTTTTCTTACCGGAGGTTTTTTGACAAGGGGAGGTAAAGAATTCCATTTTAATTTGAAAGGTCTCTGCCTTATTCAGTTTCTCTCCTAAAAGAATGTCTTAAAAGGAAGTTGTAAAGCAGTTGTGAGAGCTCCCCCCCTGTGGTTTATGCTAATAAAGCAACAGTATAGGCAGGAAAGGCCTTCTGGCTGCTTCTGCAATGTATGTTAACTACCTTGAGAAAACTATTACTTTGTCTCAACATTTCACTGGTTATTGCCCATTGTTTCTTACCCCCGAAGAACACACAAGAAAACACACAATTCAAAAATTTAATGTTGAACCAGGCAATAAGAATGAAAAGTCCACTCCCTATGAGGAGTAGCTGTACACAAAATAAATAAGTTACAGTTTAAACAAAAGCACAACTGGCTTTTTAAAGTGCGTGTGTATAAGGCCTTTAGCCTGTGAACTCCATTGGCTCAATGTAAAAAAAAAAAAATTATATATATGTATCTGCCACATGTGTTTTAAGGATGAACAGGGACTGGCTCAGCTCAGAACAAACCACCAGCTTCATCCCTGGGAGCCAGCTGTGCTTCACACTGAGCTGAATCACAGACACGTTCCTTCTGTGCCTGTTGCACACAGAGAAGAGTGTCTTACGCTGGCAGCTGTTAACAGACGATCACTCCGACACCACGCTCATTCCTCAAAAGCTCCATGTTTGATCATTTAGTCTGGACAGTATTTTTTTTTCAGACAGTAAAAAAAACCCACAAGTTATTTGTAATTAGATATGTTTACACCCTGTGGACAATAGTTTCGCATACAAGGAGTCTGGTCAAGTTGTCAGCAATAACATAGCTAGTAAAAAAATAAAGGACCACTGTTTACAGTCTTGATACCCAGTTGTGTCCACTTATTTTACACTTACTTTTACAGAACAATTTCATGTTTGCTCATTTGTTTTGAAATACATGGGAAATAAACAGTTCTACTATGCAACGAAATTAAACAGATACATCATGCTGCCCTTCATCCAAGTGAAAACAAGACTCGGGTGGTTACTTCTGAACAGCAGACTGCAGTTGAGGGTGTTTCCCTGCTCAGGTACAAGAAGTTAAGAGTTACATCTAAAAGGTTGTTTCTGCACAAGCATTAAGTCAAATCTGTCCCACTGGAGAAAAGGCAAACTGAAGGCTTGTTTCATTTACTGGAAAGTTCCTTTTCCAAATGAAAATACTTGTTCTACAAGTCACATCCTAGAACCATTTCAAGAGTTTGGGTTTTTTTTTCCTTTTCCAATCTGCCACCGTTCCTTTTTTAAGCAACTGCTTATTTCTACAGCCTACAGAAAGCCTTTCTACAGAAAGGCTACCTGAACCATCCTTCTTTCACAATGCCTTGGACTCTAGACATGCCAGTGTTAAACACCCCAGGTTTCAATCTCGGGGTAAACGTTGGGGATACCAACAGCTCTGCTGTCAAACAGAAGTGACAGTCCTCACTTTGGCAGACAAAGCTTGCTTAAACCTTCTCTTCAGATCCTGCATGTTGGGCGATTTTGGCCGTGGAATAAGAGAGGTTCTTCTTCTCTCAGGGGTGCTGGTTGTTTGCTGTTTACTGACTTCTTTACAGAGGAGATGGAAGGCATTGAAGATATCGTTATAGTTTTCACTGACAGATACTTCATAGAAAGTACAGCCCAGCATGTTGGCCAGCTGAAGTCCATGCTGAGGCTCCACCTCTTTGATATGCAAGAGATCAGCTTTGTTTGCTACGATGACAACAGGGACTGCATTTCCCGGATGCAACTGTCGAACGTGATGGTAAAGGTGACTGAGTAGTTCATAGCTCTTATAGTCTGTGATGGAGAAGACAATCACCAGGGCATCTGCCCAGCGAATGCATCTGTTCAGCTGCTCATTACAATCCAGATTGTGTTCGTGGATCTGAAAAACGAATGGTCTCAAATTAGATAGCTGAAGTCTTAAAAGATTGAAGGAACCTGTCTTTAAGAGTCTGTAAAGCCAAATAGCATTTTACAGCTTCAGACATATATATTTGCATTTCACATTGTAAGTACAAACTTAATCGGAGCGTGGCGAATAAATGCATGTTGAT